TTCCTGCTCACAGTGCTTTGTCCAAAAAAAAAAAAAAAAAAAAAAATCACATGCCCCTAATACAACTGCAAGGGAGACTAGGAAGTGAAGACAGATATTTGCCAAGTAATCCCACAAATGGATATTGCTAAGTAGAGTCTACCACATATATGTTCCCCAGATTTCAGGAAAGTAAGTATCAGAATGCTCAGAGTATCCCATTTGTATAAAAACAAATCTATATATGCCTCGAAAAAATAAAGAATGAAAGAAAATACACCAAAATAGTAATAGTGAATACCTCTGGTGATTTAATTGTTTATGGGTTTTATTTTCTTTTTATATTTTTTATATTTCCCTAGAAATATTTAATAATTGTGTTTTAGAATCCAAAAAATAATCCAAGGTTTTTTTAAAATTGTGAAACAAGTTCAGACCAGAAACAACTATGACTCCATGTGGAAAATGACTCAAAAAAAGGGAATTTCTTTAAATGCACTTCTAATCACATTTAGCCAGCAAAAAGAAAAAGTGAGAGACAGGCATGGACTTGACTGTGGTCACACAGGAATCACTCTGATGAACTCTGATTTTAAAGTGCATCTGTGAAAAACAGAAAGAAGGGCACAGTGCCAACAGAGAAGTCAAAGAGGGGGCACAGCCCTAGGAACACCATTCCAAGAAAAGAGAGAAAGGGAATTTAGAAACAACAACAACAACAAAAAAGCACACATATTAGGGAATTAATTTCAGCTAAGGCAAAGAGAGGGAATCACAGTAAAAGGGGATTTGGTGGCTCAGCATGAAGCTGTCCCTTCCCACTAAAGGTTTCTGCCAACTTGAATCTCTCTCTCTCTAGCCACAGCCATCCTCTGCTCTCTGCGTTCCCGGAGCACTCCCCCCAAAGTTTACCCAAAGCTGAATGGGTAAAGACCTAAGTGAGCTCTACCAGGGCCTTGACTGTTTAGCTCTTGCCTCCCTTCCCATCCTCATCCTGCTACTTCTGGCCCCTGCCTCTCTGAGCTCCAACTCAAAGCTCTACTTTCACATATTTGATCCCCAGAGCCTTCGCTCAGCCTGGAATTTTCCCTCCTCCCTCCCCATGGAACTACCCACTCCCAGTCTAAGACTAGCTTCTTTGTTTGTGGCCTTACTCAACTTATCTCAGTCTGTTTATCTGCTTATTTAGGGGATTATTGTTGAATGTTTTCACAGCTTCCAGGATAGCAAGAACCATCGCTGGTTGTGCTCACTGAATGGGGTTTCGTTCTTTTTAACTCCTTTTTTCACTTTGAGGTAAGAAGGCGGAGGAGACCTTGTTTCTTCAACTTACCCCTCTTTACTGAGGAGCTGGTGTCACTAGATAGTCTGGTATTTTGAACTAGAAATCACAAAATAGAGTTTTCATTTTCAATCCCACGCTCACACCAACTCTCCATGTGACCTTGCCACCTCGATACTTCCTCTCTCTGAGCCTGTTTATAACGTAAGAGTTTACCCTAGATAGTATCTGAGGTGCATCCCTCAATATACCATCTAGGTCCTTCAATACACTAATGAGACAAGGCAGAAAAACTTAGAAATTGAAAAGAGCAAAGAAAAGGAAGATGTCACACTAAAAACAGAGACAGCCCATAGTTGCTTGAGCCAAGGCTCTGGTGTCTGAATCTCACTTCAGCAATTTGGTAACCTCGAAATCTTGGACAAATAGGTTGGTTAATCTCCCTGGACTTTGACTTCCAGTACTATAAAATGTGATAAGAACACCTACCTCATGGGTTTGATGAGAAGATTAAATGAGATAATGTATTATAATCCCAGAAGACTATGTTATATGTTAGGTCTTTTCCTCCTGCCCATCTACTGTCATGGAATTTAAAAGCAGGTAAAATTAAATAAACCATAGGTTAAGACAAAAGGCTCAGTTGTATCTGTACATAGTGGTTTATGCATACTTTATTCCTCTGAAGAGGCTTTCTACAACCTAAAAACAAATCACTGCATCCCCTGAAAATTCACAGGGAAGAGTTGTGTTAATTTTGCATTCAAGCAATGTTGTCAGATCCAACTACATGCAATGATTTTAAAGTTGTTCCCAAAGATGTTTATAGATGTTTCTTATCTTCATGGTACAATGGCAAGAACATGGCTGAAGTGCCTACCCAGACTCCACTGCTGACCATGCGTTCAACTCTGTTGATCACTTTCACCCTTTTCCTGTATGTCACAGAGTAAAATGAGATTTCATTGGAGGAGGAGGGGAGGGGGATGCAGGATATTTCAAACCATTTCTGTTTTCATCTTTTTTTCTTTTCAATGAAAAAAAAATGCCAGAAACAATAAATGAAAGGGTGTTTGAGGCTGGAAAGACCTTTAAAGATGATTGATCTTTTTCATCCTCATCGCTTGGTGTTTGATGGAGGTAAGAGACTTGAGCACCTAAATGCCACGGGAAGAGAAGACTGGACTTGAAACAGAAATGTGAATCAGAGTGCTGGCTTTGCCACTTTTGTGACTGTAGGTTGGCCACTTAACCTCTTCTGGGGTCCTCCACTGTAAAAGCGGACAGTAATCACTACATCTATGGGTAAAGTGTGGGGCCAATGAGACAATGCAAGTGAGAGCTCTTTGTGAAGTATAAAACAGTTTTCACATGGAAAGCACCACCACGACTCTTTGGACTCACAGCCTCCAGACTTATAAAGCATATCCACTCACCTGCCAAAAGATATCACCTCATCTTGCATGCCTAATTTTGTGAATCCTGAAAGAAAAATGCTGATGTCTAACAAAAACCTTAGCACAGAATAAATTTCTTTTTTTCTGAATGGTGTAGGTGAAAATGACTAAAGAAGAGTTTTTGAAGCCTCCTCAGGGTCAAGAGATGGGTTCTTAAAGCCCCCAAAGCCCCTGTCACAGGACAGCCCCCCTAAACCCCGGGGCTCCTTTAGAGCTCTACCTAGCGGGTTTCTCTTCCTAGGAAGAGAGGATTTCATGGTCACACTTACTTACAAGTCAGTCTTGGTACACACATACAGAAAAGTAGGTTCCCCAAAACAACGTAAGGACTTCTCACTCCCTACACCTCACCCACGTTGTTCTTCCTTTAACAGCCAGTTTCCAAAAAAAGGTCATAGGAAAGAAAAAGTTAAGTGAAACCTCAACCTGAGTTGGCTGTCTAGAAAAAATTCCAACTATCCTTGAGACATTCAACAATAACATTCGGGCCACTCTCATTCTCTACAACAGAGGAGGGGCGTAGGCCAGGACGGGCGTTACCACTAATGGTAGAAACAAGGATGTTTTCCTGGATTACCAAACAAGTGCTATCCATTCCTCCCAGAAACTAAATATCTGCAGGGCTTCAAGTTAGGTCTTCACCTGAAAATGTCCTCCCTGTTGAAACTTTCAAGCCAGTATTTTCATAAGAACTATTTTTTCTTCAATAAACTAAGGGGTTACAATGATGACCATGCAGGTTCCTGAGTGACAGAGCCATCATTAACATTGTTATTATTTTTGTTTAGTTGCATCTCCAAAGCAGACCACATTCACAGTGTGCTTTGCACTTCTTTCTGAGTAATAGTCCTCACAAGACCTCCAGGAGGCAGAGGGAATAACCAGAAGTATGCTGCCTGAAGGAGAACCGAAGATGGTAGCGAATTGGCTACCATCACCATTCAAACAAGGATCCATCCTGAGACACCCAAGATCTGCCCCAATCTGGTCCTAAATTTACATTGCCTACATCCAGGACACGTTAGCTCTGGGGCTCTTGTTTATAACTATTGTGACACTAGGTCTATGACCAGGAGGATCTGGACTGGCGATAGAATCAGAATCAGAGATTTTGCACTTAGGATAGACCTTAACGATCATGTAACTCACCCCATTACTTACCATTTAACGAGACCAGAGAAAACATTTTACCCAACTCACACAAGCCACTTTACTCCCACTTCTGAGCTGTTTTGACTTTTTATGTCACGTTACATTGCAGTGCCTCGTCTTTCCCTCTTTACCTTTTTGTTCCCCTTCTCTACCCTCTTTTTCCATCCATTTTCTTTATTTAAAACTTACATGGCTTAACCTCCAACCAGGAAACCTTCAATGTTTATCTGCCAAGAATGTGGTGTTCCATCACCCAAACTGGGCAACCTCAGCATACCCAAAAAGTCTTTGATAAAAACAGCCAGGCAACATCTGCGTAGTGTCTGTTGCAGCTAAGAGTCCCTCCCCTTCCCTCAGGCTCCATTCTCAAATCCAGCCCCCAGCTTTCTGCGGGGGGGCCTTACCCATATTTCCCTGAGCCTGCCGCTATCCCCACACAAAGATCAAACTTCTCTTTGGCCTTGATGGAGGGGCACTGTGCTATATAATATGGCCAGAGCAGAGAGTTCTCTCCCAAAGCTCTGTCACTTGTGTAGGAAATGGGTTGACAGTATTCAGAGGACTAAGAGGATTAAGACTTCTGTGGTTATCATTTTGCTCTCCCCTAGCCTGCCCCAACCAGGGAGGTTGTCTCCCCATAATCAGAGTGATTTATGCCTCTTCGGCCAAACCTCCCTCATCTTCCCTCACAGCCAACCCTTATCTGCCAGGGGCTGCCAAGCATGCCATCAATTCATACTCAGCCCTGGGGTACAAAAAACAAATTTAGCTAAAACCCAGGCCACAGCTCCTAAGCTCCTTTCCCATTCCAGCCATCTAGAAGTCTGATGTTAGGAGTTCTCCCCTCCTCCCCACATATGTTTTTACATTTCCTGCCCTTCTTCCCTTTTTCTAAGACTATATGCTTACAATAGTTTAGAACAAAGCAATAAACAAATGAAACCAAGTTAGAAACTCCTGGAATCTCTCCAAACAACACTATTATCAAATATGTAAACTGACATTATTTTGGCCAGTTTCCCGTTGAAGGAAAATTTAAAAAATCTACAGAACAATCCTTCCCTGTAAATTCCCCCGGTGACGCACAGAAACCACGCCTACTTCAAGAAGACAACAAAAGGCGAGGAAGCCTGACAAGGGCCAAGTCTCCAGGCAAAGAGGGAGTCATTTCTTTCGTGCTTGAGTCAGCAAAGGTATTGTCCTTCTTACATCTTTGACTTTTAAAATATATGTTGCTTTTCTTCTTGGCCCCTGTCTCTAAAACCACCTTCTCTGAAGATTAAGCCTCTTCCTTTCTTCCCTGGTTTGGTGTGTGAGTTAGAATCATAGTCAGATTTCAGAAAAGAATTCTTGGGGAACTGAGGGGCACAATCATTGGCTTCACATAAGGACATTCGTGAGTGCAGCGGAGCCTTCCTTTGGAGGGAATCTGAACTCCCAAAACTATTAAGAGAAATCTGGAAATTTCCAATTCTTTTTTTTTTTTTTTTATTCATTTCTAGGAGAGAGAGAGAGACAGCATGAGCAGGGGAGGGCCAGAGAGAGAGGGAGTCACAGACTGAAACAGGCTCCAGGCTCCAAGCTGGCAGTCAGCACAGAGCCTGATGCGGGGCTCGAACCCACGAACCGTGAGACCATGACCTAAGCGAAAGTCGGACGCTTAACCAACTAAGCCACCCAGGTGCCCCTGGAAATTTCCAATTCTGTCTCTATCTTGCATCCATGCAAGGCAAATACCTCATCTTCTGGTGGGGGAGGGTTCTGTTCTTTAATGTATCCAAGTTTTCACTGAATGCCTACTGTGTACAATGTATTGGGCTGGGCACATAGAGACTACCAAGGTTCTAAAAGAAGTTAACGATCTAGTAGAGAAGGCAGATGCATTTGCAAATAACTCAGGGGAGTGAAAAGGAGAATGGGGACAATGCTGAGTGTGGGCTAAGTCTTTCAATAAGATTCTCAAGGAGCACAAAGCACTGGTTCTTCCCCTTTCTGGCATTTGGTTCAGTGTCTGCCAGGCTGATGGCCACTGGTATTCTCTGTTGCAGAAATCAAGATGGCCAAAGTTCCTGATGTCTTTGAAGACCTGAAGAACTGTTACAGGTAGGAAATCAATTCTATCTCTTGTGATTTAATGAAGGGATCAAGGTACATTAGGATCCACCTCAGAGTGACAGTAACTAGCATGGAGGCAGACTAGCAAAGGTATAGAGATGGGCCCTAGTGCTGAAGTCAGCGAAGATCTAGAAAGAGTAAGGACCCCATGTGTTAAACTGAGATGGCACTAACAGGGAGGCAGGCTTTTCAGAAAAACAGTCTGCTGGGTCCAAGTGAATTTCAAAATCTACTTAGACATAGCCTCAGTCAAGTCCATGTGCTCTGATATGGTAATGGGTTTTCGTGGACTGTCAGAGAAAAAAACCCATTCTCAGGAAAACTTCTGGATCTCAGTCTGGAATAGGCAATGGCTAAACAGCAATTTGAGCATGTGAATGCACATACACAGTTTAACCTCATTCAGACATAAGAGTAGGGTAAATGAATTAAATTTAAAATTAAAGAATACTATAAACAAACATGGTATTCCCATTACCTGTTAATATACACTAACACAAACTAGGCTATCAAAATGTTGCCAGGATAGTTCCCAAGGATAAATTATTAAATCTGTTTTAGTGAATACATTAAAGCAATGTGTAACATGTGAACTATTTCATTAAAATAAAAATAAAATAAAAGTTTAATTTTAATTTTAATGAAATTTTAATGAAATTAAAATTAAAATTAAAATGCTTCAAAAGAATTTCTCTCTTGAGGAGATTAACATTTTCCCCTGAAATTCAACTATACCTCTTCAGTTTGTTAGCCAAGCCCATTTTTACAGACAAAGTTCAAGGCCTGTCTGGATGATTACTAATTCCAAATTAGTGAGTCACAAATTGCTGTATATATGTATGTAAATGTATAGAAGTCCTTAATTTTCAAAGATGACGGTAATGACCAGGTGTCTGTTACCCAAAGCTAATGGGGTCACTAAAATACATTGCCTGGTGACTGCAGTGATGTAACACACAGAATTACATTCTCCTTATCTTGTTTGGCAGTGAAAATGAAGAATACAGTCCTGAAATTGACCATCTCTCTTTGAATCAGGTAAGCAAATGACTGTAATTCTTATGGGATTGCTATCCTTTTTTCTTTTAAGTTTATTTATTTTTAGTGTGTGTGTGTGTGTGTGTGTGTGTGTGTGTGTATGTGTGTGTGAGAGAGACAGACAGACAGACAGACAGAGAGACAGAGAGAGAGAGGGAGGGGGGGAGGGAGAGAGTGCAGGGGAGGAGCAGAGAGAGACAGAGAGAAATAATCCCAAGCAGTACTGCACTGACAGCACAGAACCCAATGTGGGGCTCAAACCCATGAACTGTGAAATCACGACCTGAGCCGAAACCAGGAGTTGGAGGCTTAACTAGCTGAGTCACCCAAATGGCCCACACGATTGTCATTCTTATACAGTATTTTTTCTACCAGAAGAAAACAGCAATAACTTGAATCCTTGATGCTTTTGTTTCACCCTTACTAGAGGTTCAGAGACCTGTATCTCTTTCTCATAAGTGAGATCAACTGCCTCTCTACACTGACAGTTAATGGCACTGTCCATGCTCAACAGACTTTCCTAGGGAAAGGTGGGAGAGAGGTAGAGAAAGAGGAAAGTATGGGGAGGGAGGGAAGAAGAGAGTAAGAGGGGAGAAGACTGGTGAAATAAAGACGCTTGTCACAAAGTCTATTGAATACAACTTCTACTGAAAGGGATCTCATCCTATGACCATACGCAGTCCCTCAGTTTCTATTTTCCTTCCTCATAGAAATCCTTCTATGATGCAAGCTATGACCCACTTCAGGAGGACTACATGGATAAATTTATGTCTCTGAGTACTTCTGAAACCTCTAAGACACCCCAGCTTACCCTCAATGAGAGTGTGGTGATGGTGGCAGCCAATGGGAAGATTCTGAAGAAGAGAAGGTTGAATTTAAATCGGTTCCTCACTGATGATGACCTGAAAGCCATTGCCAATGAAGTAGAACAAGGTAAGAAGTCAAGTGCAAATAATATCTTTGTTTGCCAATTGTAAGCACATGGAGACAACAGAACACAGGAGAAAATAAAATCAAGAATCAGAGTAACAAGAAAGTAACCAGGCATTAGTCTGGTAATTGTATAAGGAAGAAGATAGTTTATCCTTCTCTAGCAAGGAGGGAGCAGCAGTGGTCTGAGTAGAATACTTCCTCATGGGCTTATTTACAAAGGTCATGTGACTTTTATCCTTATGGCAGAAAGCTGTCATATACTGTTAGTAGGTGACTAGTTACAAGCTACGTTCCTCCAGATAATAACCTTGCCCCATTAGGCAAGTTACTACTTAACCTTTCTGTGCTTCAGTTTCCTCTACCGTAAAATGGAGATACTCAGAGTCCCTACTTGTTGTTAAAATTAAATGAGTCAATATTTGCAAGCTCCTGGACTAGAATAATGCCCAGCACGGAAATACTCAATAAATGTTAGGTATTGTTGTTACTCCTACTCCTCCAACTTACTACTACCTTTGTTAATACTACCAATACTGCTCATTTATTGATGGCGGCATTATCTCTACATTTCGCAACAATCTTACATTCTCATTTGATAGAGGAGGAAACTAAGCTCAGTTAGGTAAGTCACATAGTATATAAGTAGGAGAGCTTTAAATCAAATTCAGTTCTGATTATAACAGTTAGGATTATTCTCCCATGTGTCTACTGTACAAGCCTCTATATGAAACATAAGCCCAATATTTTTTTTAAATAATAGCTTTTTTTGAGATAACAGATAAACACTAATACACATTCACCTAGAAAACTGGAAGAGGCAAAACAATGTAAGAAAGAAAATAAAAATAGTTCATACTACGAGTTTACCACTGCCACCACTATGGTATGTTCCTTAAAGTCTCTTCTAGGTACATACACACATATAAACAATTATTAGGATTATATTATATACAATTTTATATTCAGCCTTTTTCACTTAGCAATATACCAAGGGCATTCTAGAGTACCAATTTTTCAATATTATAAGTAATATAACAATGAACATTCATACCAATACATTTTCATTTTTTAAGTTTATTTATTTATTTTGAGAGAGAGAGCAGGGGAGGGGAAGAGAGAGGGAGAGAGAATTCCAAAGAGGCTCTATGCTGTTAGCACAGAGTCGGACATGGGACTCAAAACTCACAAACCATAAAATAACAACCTTAGCCAAAACCAAGGGCTGGATGACTAAGCCACCCAGAAGCCCCAGTAAATCTTCATTTTTATCACTATTTATTTCCTTGGAATAGAATACTAGATGTAAATTACTTGGAGCCATGAGGTTTTGTGAAGCTACTGATAAATACCACTGTTCAGAAAGGAGGGTAGACATTTAGACCCACATGGGTCTGTGGGTCAGATATATATATATATATATATATATATATATGGCCAGTGACATATATAATTCTTAACATATTCATTTTTTCCTCAGAGTATATTCATTTGAAAAATATAGATGGTGAATGCTAGCAGTCTTCCTGGTTTCTTAGAAACTTCCAAACAAAAAAAAAAAAAAATGAGAATATTTGACAAATGATCTCTCTTTTAAAAACTACTGCCTGAGGTGCTGAAGTTTAAAAAGAAATAAGTAATCACAAAGATAATCCTAGAACCAACTCTGCTGATTGGGTGACTTCACTTCTCTCTCAGTTTGTTCATCTGGATTGGAATATTCTTAATGTCTCTTCCAATAGCTACTTTTGATGCTTGTATTAGAGTAGGAATATCCTCTGTGTTTGTACAAAGACATTAATCTGAACTTGTGATAATGGTTTTAGAAATCATGAAGCCCAGATCAGTCGCACCCAGCTTCCGTAGCAATGAAAAATACAACTATAGGAAGATCATCAAATCCCAGTTCATCCTCAATGACAACCTCAGTCAAAGTATAGTTCGAAAAGCAGGGGGAAAATACCTCACAGCCGCTGCCTTACAGAATCTGGACGATGCAGGTAAGTGGACACCTCGGTCATCCTTCCCTCCTCTAGAACAGGATAAAGCACATCACGACCCAGTAAGATCCTGGGCAAGGACAGGAACTTCAGCCAAACCAGGAGGCTCCACAAGAGAGATGTTTCCTTTCTTTGGGAGCACTGAGTAGAAAGCTTTCTGATGTAGTAACTCCTTTGATTCTCCTACATAGTCTTATCCTCAGTTTTAAAGATGAGGAAACTGACTCCCAGAAATATTAAATGACTTGCCCAGAGTTACCCAGAAGCCAAGGAGGAGCAATCACTCTCCATCAGAAAGCCTGCTGATCAAACTTAGAAATAAGCACCAAACTAAAAAGAATCATCATCTTTGGTAACATGACCGTGAAGCAAAGCATCCGATAATCTGAGAATATGTTTGGGAGGATGGAACTTTGTGTCCATGAAATTTAGTCACACAAATCCAATTTCCATATTGTACATATTTTAGCTTCAGGACATGTTGTCACATACAAAATTATTTGCAGAGCTCTACACAGCCTACTTTGCAATAAACAAACAGGACTCTTTCTAATTGGACATACTTCAGATAACATGCTTTCCACTCTATGACATTTATAAATTATTTTGTGTTCTATTTTCCTATTTAATATTATTTCATGTAATTTTCCCACATATTGAAATAGCATATATATACATATATATATGCCATTCTTAATGGCACTAGAATATTCAGTGATGTTGCTATGCTGGACCCTTGGGTTTGCCTCAAGTAATTCTACTGCAAATATCATTTTTTTCCCCTAGGAGTTTATTTCTTTGGACCATATCTCAAAAATAGAACTCTTAGGTTCCTAGGGATAAATAATTATTTATTTTATTTATAATTATTTATTATAATTATTCAGTTCTTGTTAAGCATTGTTCCCTAAGGAAAACAACTACTTTTCACTATCACTAGCAACATGATTGTATCAGCTTCCCCAAACCCCTCCACTTTAGGTTATTATGAACTCATGAGCTCACAAATTGAAGGGTATTATCCCACTAATGAAATTACAAGAGATTAAACAAATAGCCCTCAAGCATTCATTCAACAAAGAAAAGTCTAAAGACGTTAACCAAGTATTTACCTGCCTAGTAAAAGCAGCAGATATTGTAAAAGATACAAAGATGTATGGAATTCCATTCTGGTATTTATATCATAGTTGGGGACCTAATTACACACAGACACATACACACACAATCTACATAACATGTGATTTTATTCAAGCACAGTGGATTTACTTTCTTTTTGGCTTTTTTCTTTCCCAGTGAAATTTGACATGGGGGCTTATACATCACTAGAAGATTCTAAACTTCCTGTGACTCTAAGAATCTCAAAAACTCGACTGTTTGTGAGTGCCCAAAATGAAGATGAGCCTGTACTGCTAAAGGTCAGTCGTCCTCAGTCTCCAATTTACCTTCATTTATATCCCATATGTTTGTGGATGATTCCAATAGACAGACCCCTAGCAAGGTGGCACCATCCTCCTCTCTTCCTACCAGTTTCCACCTGTCCACCTGCCCCTATGCGCTACTTCTCACCTATCCCCAGAGGCACTTCTAGGCAGGATCTATGAGAAAGTAAGAATGGCAAGAGTGAATAAAAGAGAAATTACCTTCTTCCTTCTTTTCCTTACCCTACCTGATCCTAGTCACCTCCCATCCCATGGCATCCATTTATTCCATCCATCTGAGTTTTGTGATGGTGAGGCCTTAGGACGATGGGGCCTGCTTCTAAGAAACTCAAAAAAGCCAACTAGGAGCAGAGAGTATTAATCACCTGCCACTGGGCACAAAGCAAGAACTTGGGAGCCAAGATTCAAGCCCTGGCCTTTTGACTCTAATGCCTCTCTCTCTTCATTGGTGCCAGCATTATCCCTCATCCCAGCCCCATCTCCACTACCACCTTTCCCTCAAACACACACACACACACACACACACACACACACACACACACACACACACAAGCCTTAGATGTTTTCTCCACTGATAAGTAGATGACTCTTATTTAGTAAATGTATAATGCAAACCCCCAACCCCAACCAGGATTTTTGTGGTGCATGTATTGCTCTACATGGATCAAGTGAGGTAAAAGTGATATCTACCAACTAGGCAGTATCTTCATTCATGAATTCATTCAACAGGCATCATTTATTGAGAGGCTTCTATTCTTCAAACATAGTGCAAACAGCTGTGTAGACCATGGTGAAACAAAATCCCTAGCCTTATAGAAGTTACTCTTCTGTAAGACACACACAGTAGACAAGCCAACAAAACCAGCAAAAAGTACAAGATGCTGTAAAGCAAAGAAAAGGGTGCTGAGATAGAGAAAAGGTTGCTGGGAAATAAATTCCTTGTTGGCATTGAAACCCCAAGGAAACCTCAAAATGATAATTAGTTGCTTTAGATTAAAAAGAGCACAGAAGAAGCATCTGTGCTCTTTGAATTTTACTTTTCCATGTAAGTATTGTTAGATTCTATTCATACTCACAAGAATAATACTGTCTAAAGAGATCATAACTGTCATGGAGTCCGTTGCTATTATACTTAGAAATGTGTGTGTGTGTGTGTGTGTGTGTGTGTGTGTGTGTGTGTGTGTTTGGGGTTTTGTTAACTTTTAATTGTTAGCTTAAATATGGAGACAAACATCTCTAATAATAAATTTATTTTCCCAAAGATATGATTAGCACACTTAGAGGTCAAAATGTTTAGAGGTCTCAGAATTTCTATTGCTCAGATTTTATGCAAAATGCCTTATGCTTATGTTGAAGACACGACAAGAACAATGTTCTGCCCTGCCTTCCAGGGTACAGTAAGACACCACTGTCATTGGCAGTCTTCATGACGAATTTGGATTTCTCTCCAGGTACTTGGGAAATTAGTTATTATGTGTAGCTGGGCCATACATCTAACAGGCATGTAATACATGCTTGTTGAATGAACAAATGAATGAAGGACCTATATCATCATATTACAGAGTCAGAGTCCTAAAATGCTATATTTCTCACAAAGGCCAAATGTCAAGGGATTGTACTTCAGTTCTTTGCCTAGAATGTTGTTCTCTAACCTATCCTTGTTCTTCTTATTATAGGAGATGCCTGAGACGCCCAAAACCATCAGAGATGAGACCAACCTTCTCTTCTTCTGGGAACGTCATGGCAGTAAGAACTACTTCAAATCAGTTGCCCATCCAAAGTTGTTCATTGCCACACAGGAAGAAAATCTGGTGCACATGGCAAGAGGGCTACCCTCTATCACTGACTTTCAGATACTGGAAACCCAGTCTTGACTCTGGAGTCTACTTACTTGTGAAGTTTTGACAGTCCATATGTACTATGTACACGGAGGAGTCAAATCTTTTGCTCTTAGTCACTTGCTGAGCATGTGCTGAGGCTTTGTAATTCTAAATGAATGTTTACTCTCTTTGTAAGAGAGTGAGCAAGGTCTAATAGAACCAACGTCAACATATAATGTTGTGTGTTATTTAAAGAACACCCTATATTTTGCAAACTACCAATCGATTTAATTATTCTTCATAACAATCTTGGGAGAGCTACTGAATATGGCTACCAAAAAGACTCAACCCATATTACAGATGGGTTAAGTAACTGAGGCATAAGAAATACCCACAACTGCAGTTGGAATGAGAACTCATATGTCCAGGATTTCATTCCAACTACTTGCTTTTAAGTTGCTGATGGACCCTTAATCAAATACTGTAAGTTTCTGGGAACTTAGTTTGATTATCTTCAAAATGGAGGGATGCACTTATATCTTTCCTGCCTTGATAGTATTTTATGCCAATTAATGAGATCAGTTTAGTAAAATGCTTCATGAATGAAAAGTTTGAGCCTCAAGAAATCAAAGTGTAAAATATTTATTATTTATGTACATATATATTTATGAACATATTTAAGATAATTATATTATTATATTTATGGCAATTCTTTATATTCTTAGAGTATGACTGAACATTCTTAACAAACAGTAAAGAGTGTTTTTCAGGCTAAATGAGTTTTATTTATTTACACTAAGGCACTTTGGTCCAAGTCTTGCTTTTTGTAGTACCTGGAAACTCTATAATAATGATAATAAATTTATATTAATACCTTGTGCTGATCATTGACAATCTTTCAATCCTCCACTTTTAAACTTGCTTTAGCATTCTTGTGTCATTCAATTTCACCTGCTATCAAGTTCTACTAGCTAAGAAAGAGATAAACTTAACTTTGGTGACAACTGTTAATCTAAATTTTTTTTCTGGAATGTAAGCAATGTTCCTTCTAGGTTCTAAAAGTTATGATCAAACTATGGTGTTAAATTACTATAAAAAATAAGGACCAATACATTATTATAAATCATAACTGAATAAAACTTATAAAAACATAAGTTTGACACAATTATTTACTGTCTTAATCATTATTTTAATGCATGGTAATTAAGAACAAATGATAAAACTTCACATAAACAACTCTAATTAGTGTTATTTTATAAAACCAAACCAAAGTTTTATGGTTTTTCTCTCCCATTTGTTAGCTTGCCAGTATGCACAAATGGTATTAAGAATGATAATATTCCAGGGGGTGGGGGAGAGCTGGGTGGCTCAGTCAGTTGAGCGTCAGACTTCAGCTCAAGTCATGATCTCACTGCTCATGAGTCCAAGCCTGAGTCAGGCTATGTGCTGACAGCTCAGACACTGGAGTCTGCTTCAGATTCTGTCTCTGTCTCTCTGCCCTTCCCCTGCTTGCACTCTCCTCTCAATCTTTCTCTCTCTCTCTCATTCTCTCTCTCTCTCTCTCATATATAAAATAAAGCATAAAAAGAAAGAATGATAATATTCTCATGTTTCATGTGAAGCTCACATTACACATGTGCAACATTTGTGCTCATATAGCTATACAAACTCACACATACAGAGCCACATTAAAAAATTAGTGGATCCACCTAAAGAAGACTCCACCTAAACAAGATCCATCTATATGCTGCCTATAAATGACTCAATTTAGACCTGAGGACACCTGCAGATTGAAAGTGAGAGAATGGAGAACCATCTATCAGGCTAATGGACATCAAAAGAAAGCCAGAGTAGCCATATTTATATCAGACAAACTAGATTTTAAAACAAAGACTGTCATATGTAAAAGAAGAATCACTGGGTTCTACTCCTGAAGCCAAGACTATACTAAGTGTTATCTAACTTGAATTTATTTTTCTTAAACTTTATTTAATGTTTGTTTATTTTTGAGGTGGGGGGAGTATCTGAAGAAAGCTCTGCACTGACAGCAGAAAGCCCGATGTAGGGCTTGGATTTAGAAATCACAAGACCATGACCTGAGCTGAAGTTGGTTCCTTAACTGACTGAGTCACCCAGGTGCCCCACTAACTTGAATTTAAATTTAAAAAAATAATAAAAATAAAACAAAGATTGTAATAAGAGATAAAGAAGGGCATTATATCATAATTAAGGGGTCTACCCACCAAAAAGATCTAGCAACTGTAAATATTTATGCCCCCAATTCAGAACTCCCAAATATATACATTAATTAATCACAAATATAAACAAACTCATTGATAATAATACCATTATAGTGGGGACTTTAACACCCCACTTACAGAAATAAACAGATCATCTAAGCAGAAAATCAACAAGGAAATAATGTCTTTGAATGATAAACTGAATCAGATGAATTCACAAATATATTCAGAACATTTCATCCTAAATCAGCATAATACACATTTTTCTCAAATGCATATGGAACATTCTCTAGAACAGATCACATACTAGGTCACAAATTAGCCCTCAACAAGTGTGAAAAGAGCAAGATCATACCATGCATATTTTTAGACCATAACGCTATAAAATGTTTAAAAATATTTTTTAACACTTATTCATTTTTGAGAGATAGAGACAGACAGCATGAGCAGGGGAGGGACAGAAAGAGGGTGACACAGAATCCAAAGCAGGCTCCAGGCTCTGAGCTGTCAGCATAGAGCCCAATGCGGGGCTTGAACTCACAGACTGTGAGATCATGACCTGAGCTGAAGTTGGACGCTTACCCGACTGAGCCACCCAGGTGCCCCAACGCTATGAAACCTGAAATTAACCACAAGAAAAAATTTGGAAAGAAGACAAATACTTGGAGATTAAAGAACATCCTACTAACTGGAGGGTATTATGCTAAGTGAAATAAGTCAGGCAGAGAAGATAGATACCATTATGTTTTCACTCATGTGTGGATCTTGAGAAACTTAACAGGAGACCATGGGGGAGGTTCAGGGGGGAAAAAGCTACAGAGAAGGAAGGAGGCAAACCACAAGAGACTCTTAAAGACTAAGAACAAACTGAGGGTTGATGGGGGGTGGGGAGAGGGAAAAATGGGTGATGGGCATTATTGGGATGAACACTGGGTGTTGTATAAAAACAAATTTGACAATAAACTATTTGTAAAAAAAAAAAAAAGTTATGTAAAAACAAATTTGACAATAAATTATATTTTTAAAAAATTTTTTAAATAAAAATAAAGAACAACCTACTAAAGAATGAATGGATTAACCAAAAAGTAAAGAGGAAATTAAAAAGTACATGGAAGCCAATGAAAATGAAAATACAACAGTCCAAAACCTTTGGGATGCAGCAAATGCAGTCAGAAGAGGTAAGTATATAGCAATCTAGGCCTTCCTAAAGAAGGAAGAATTGTCTCAAATACACAACCTAACCTTACACCTAAAGGAGCTGGAAAAAGAACACCAATAAAGCCCCAAACCAGAGAAGAAGGGAAATAATAAAGATTAGAGCAGATTTCAATGATATAAAAATTCAAAATGGATGAAAGACCTAAATGTAAGACAGGAAGCCATCAAAACCATAGAGAAGAAAACAGGCAACAATCTCTTTGACTTCAGCCAAAGCAACTTCTTACTGGACATGTCTCCAGAGGAAAGGGAAGCAAAAGCAACAATGAACTATTGGGACCTCATCAAGATAAAAAGGTTCTGCACAGTGAAGGAAACAATCAACAAAATTAAAAGGCAACTAAGAGAATGGGAGAAGATATTTGCAAATGACATATCAGATAAAGGATTAGTATCCAAAATATATAAAGAAGTTATCAAACTCAACACCCAAAAAACAAATAATCCAGTGAAAAAAAATTGGCAAAGGACATAAATAGATACCTTTCCAAAGAAGACATCCAGATGGCTAACAGACACATGAAAAGATAAACATCACTCATCATCAGGGAAATACAAATCAAAACCACAATGAGATATCACCTCACACCTATCAGAATGGCTAAAGTTAACAACTCAGGCAACAACAGATGTTGGTGAGGATGTGAAGAAAGAGGAACACTTTTTCACTGTTGGTGGGAATGCAAACTGGTGCAGTCACTCTAGAAAACAGTACGGAAGTTCCTCAAAAAATTAAAAATAGAACTACTCTACGACCCAGCAATTACACTACTAGGTATTTACCCAAAGGATACAAAACCACAGATTCAAAGGGGCACAAGTACCCCCCAAAGTTTATGGCAACACTATCAACAATAACCAAAGTATGGAAAGAGCCCAAATGTCCATCAACATATTAATGGATACAGAAAATGTGGTTTATATATACAATGGACTACTATTCGGTGATCAAAAAGAATGAAATCTTGCCATTGCAACAATATGGATGCAACCAGAGTGTATTATGCTAAGCAAAATTAGTCAGTCAGAGAAAGACAAATATCATATGATTTCACTCATATGTGGAAATTAAGAAACAAAACAGATGAACATAGGGGAAAGCAAGGAAAAATAAAGTAAAATAAAAACGGAGAGGGAGGCAAACCATAAAAGACTCTAAAATACAGAGAACAAACTGAGGGTTCCTGGAGAGGTGGTAGGTGGGGGGATAGATTAAATAGGTGATGAGCATTAAGGAGGGCACTTGTTAGGATGAGCACTGGTTATTATATGTAAGTGATGAATCACTAAATTCTACTCCTGAAACCATTATTGCACTATATGTTAACTAACTTGGATTTAAATAAATAAAAAAGAACAAATAAAATACATACACAAATATATATACATATATATGTTCAAACCTTATAAACAATTACTCTCATAATAAAGTTTATTTTCCAAGAGTAAAAAAAAAAATAAGAAGAAGAATGGATCCATTTGGAAAACATGGATACAAGATATGTTGAGTTGGAAAAAGTTAAAGTCAAGGGAACTTGGAAGTTAAATGTGGGAAATAATCGGGAAGGAATAGTCCAAGATGTCTCTCAGTTTCTTGGTACTGGAGAATGAGTGAGCAGTGGTATCTTAATCAGTATTTTTGGTAGAAATATGGAGTTCTTCTCTCAATTCCAGGATATGGTATGGTGAGGACCATTTTAGACATAATTTGAGCTACTGGCAGGATGTCCAACTGCAGGTGTACAATGGGCAGATGATAACATATTTGGGACTCAGAA